CACAACTAGCGACGTTTTGAAGTCGGTCAAAAAGGGTGGGAATTTGTAAAATTGATATTTTCTAAGACATAAATTAAAGAGCAAATGACTTGCAAAACTGTAAGTGATTAGCGTGGATTCTCTAGCTTTGTTTACTCGCATTAGATGAAAAGAGATAAAGCGGTACATTTGACTTTTTGTTTGTTTTATTTAACACTTCCGGTATACCTACCGAATGACTATTTAATTATGAAAAAGGAGATAACGTTAAGGTAAGTTTATCGGATGCGGAAATCCTTATATTAGGAGCGCACATGTCTAGTTTCAAGTTAGACACAACACGCAAACACAAACACAAACACTCTCTATTCCTAACACAAGTGCTCTCTATTCCTTTCACTTTATAACTCTCAAAGTCCAATAGTATGATAAGTAGTTACACCCAATAAGAGATCAGGCGCAGGACCGAAGGCTTTACGTGACGATGTTACGTGCGAGATGGGATATTGTATGGGACGGCCCACAATATATTCATTGATCCCTAATTTGAAGGTTTTGCTATGGGCATTGATAATAAGTTTCACTTGGTTCCATCAATCTAAACTCTACTCGAATAGCTCCGTGATAAGTAATGTTTATATTATCATCCAGATTTTACTTTGCTAAGTTTTAAATCAATACGACAAGTAGAAGGAGGTTAAAATCAACTTCCAAGGAATGTCCTCACATAGTTATTTATATCTTTCATCAATCATATCAACAAACACTTCTTATGTTATTATTATGTTTAGATATTTTAATATTTACCTTAATTAAATAAAGCTAACAGCTATAAATAAATAATGACAACAACCAATCATCAAACCTACTAATTAATTTGTCTGCATCATTAATGTAAGGTAATTTTATAATGGCCGGCGAATATAATGAGATTAGCCAACTACGCAGGAGATATTATAGAGCTCAGGACGAACGACTTTTCCGTTTTCTGGCTGGACACGGGGGTGAAACATCGCCAATTTTCCAACTGTGGGATATTTTTTAACAGTAAGACTCAATTACTAAATTTGGCATGACCCAGGACTTGAACCCAAGACCTCCGGATCTGTTTGTTGCCATACATGCTCGCCTCTTCAAATCACCGATAGATAGGCGAATATAATACTAAACGGTAAAATGTAACTAGGGACGAATCCGAGCGGAGCGAGGGTGAGTCGCTAGTATTTTTATAAACATCAATCACGTACTGATTAATCACGAAAGTATGAATGTTGCAAGCTTTTTTGTTAGATAGGTTCTTTATAGCGAGTAGATATCCGTTAAGAAGGGATTTTTGAAAATTTAAACCCCTAAAGGGGTAAAAAATTACAAGTTTTCTGATTCAAAGTTTTAGAGAGGATATCCTCTGAGGTTGAAAAATAGAATATCTCGATATTTCTTTTATAGAATATTTATAGAAAATAGTATTTCGAATATTTATAAAAAAATAGAATTTTATAGAAAAAAGGATTTCTTCGTTAAAAAGACAGAAACATGAAAATTAATAATAAGGCTCTTGATAGAGTAAGTTCATTGAATAAAATATATGAGTGGAGCGGAATGGAAACGCTTGTATTTCTTTAGGTACCTATATTAAAGTCTAAAGGTCCGTTAGACCCATAAAGACGACAGTAGAGAGTGAATGAAGCGCTTTGTAAGTTATATAATTTTCCTTAACCTAATAAAATGTTGTAATAAAATTTCAAATAGGTTAGATATATTATTATAGATTCATTTCATTATTCATATTTGATGACAATGTTCAAATTTTCATATCTGCGGGCTCAGACAAGATGAAAGCCGACAATCGCTTACGAATAGAAATTTTAAAAGTTGTCTTGAAATGACAAATCGAAGCGTTATGTCAGAGCAATGTATTATAATATTGCATATATTTATTTAGGTTTCCATTTGAGCGCAAAATGTGATCTTGGGGCTTAGACAAAATGTCATTCTTCTAACGTTGTAGAATAAAAATTTTAAACATTTCATAGACGAATATAATCGTTATGTCATAGAGTCATATTGTCATTCCGAAATTTTCCCTTAACCGAATAGAGTTAAGCAAGACGCTTTGGAACCAGTAGATTGAAGCTAAGAAATTGGAACTCCATATTCGCCGTAATTATATTGGATGCTAGCCTAAAACAGCAAGCTATCCTTAGATAACAAGTAGCTCATATAAGTCCATATTAAAACCAACCTCGACGTATGGAATTCAACTTCGGGGGAGTGCGAGCAACTCAAACATTGCAATACCACAGATTCACTAATAGTTCCTCGTGGCAATGCTACAAAGAATGTAAAATTCAATATTAAGAACAATTGCGGATGCGCCTTGGTTTATTACGAACTCGGAAATTCACAAACATCTAGCTCCATCTAACTTCCCTCTCTCAAACTTTTGAAGTATGGGTCGAGAAGTTCTGAAAAATAAAGACTAAACAGTTTTTGAGATATGGGATTTTTTGTCTCTAAAATTAACTTATAGTAATACTTACTTATTTTATTTAAACCATGCTACGGAATCCTAGGTGAGCGAATAAGGCTCGCACTTGTCTGAATTTTTCCGAACATTTATTTAAAAGTCACATAAGAAAACGAGAAAAAATATCAATAAATTTTTTAAAGGAGTCAATAGATTATAGAATTATTATCACTCGGTCTCTTTAATTGTGCGTCACGCAGATAGGACTGGTCGGAATTCGATAGAACTTTCTCAATCAAACAGACCGTGAGAAAGCTTGTTATAGTGACATAGAATACAAGTTTTATTTTAATTAGTCTATTAAATCCAAACAACTAGAGATCTGTTGCTGCTAGCTGGCAGCACCTACTTATAAAATATATTTAAAGTTACATATAATATATGTACCTATATATGAACTTTGCAGTTTACATTTAATAAGTAATTAAAAACATGTCACGTGCGTTATCTGAAGTCGATGACCTCACTGGCCAAACTTATGCTGGAATTCCTTGATATTATTTATAATTATGACATTTACTCGTATATTGTATAAAAAATTAACTTATTATTGCTTGCAATTTCTACGGAACTAATGTAAACTACACTTATTATTCACTACCATTGCCCGCGCCTCCGCCCGCGTTCAGATGACCAAAAACCAAATTCTTAGGTTTTACATATTAGTGTACTCTTACATGACAGTTTTTGTATTTTTTCTCAGAAGTGAGATATTTTTCCGCTGTAAAATGTATCCTATATGTTGACCCGGATAATCAGCTATGATCACACCAAATTTCATCAAAATCCGTCCTGTACTTTTTCTGTGATGCGGTAATAGACAGACAGACAGACAGACAGACAGACAAAAATTTCAAAAAACTGTAGATTCGGCCTCTGTATCGATAACAATGTCTATTTCAATAAGATTTTCCAAAAAATGTTTAATGTACATATTTGACTCAGAATTTTATTATATGTATAGATTATGCCCGTATATCGGCAGTAACTTACAATTTCCTTACCACTTAAGGCATTTAGTTAATGTAAAATATTTTTACTAGGTTTTACCCGTAGCTGCACTTGCGTGGTAAGTGATCTAATTTAGCCTATGACCATCCCCAGAATGTAATCTATGTTCTTTACAAATTTGATCGAAATTTGTTCAGCGGTTTTAGTGTGAAAAGGTAACAGACAGAGTTACATTCACATTTATAATATTAGTATGGATTTATTTGTAACTAAAAAAACCATTCGGTTACTCCCTTTTTTTCCTATGTTTTAGGAAACTTTTCCAATTTCATCCCGTCATAAATTTATTTTTTCTTAACCCAGTTTCACATAAATTACTTTATGTATAATTTTAAATCTGCTTAAATTTCCTTCTTAATACAAAAGATGAAATTGATAAAAAAAGTAAAAACAATTTTGTTTAAGTTTTGTAAATAACTATTATACATATTTAAAGGTGCAACTGCTCGAGTTCTGCAAGAGTCTCGCAGAACTGCATTCCGAACCGACTGACGCTGTCTCTCTTTAAATATATTGATGATCAAAAGATTTGTAAAAGTCTATTGAAATAACTTATAATTTGATTTAATTTCAAAGTAAATACAAGAATTATTCCTATATCACAGTAAGCATCTCCTACATAGAATTGTCTGAAAATATTCTTAAATATTAGGTTTTATAATTATTATTGTTTACTATATAATATAAAATATACAATCTTCAAAAAATCAAGAAAGCAAAGTCACACACAGGCTCTAGTATACTGGAATCTTCCACAAAATATTCGCGGTGTGAGCATCTATTATGTTTTTTCACAATCTTAATATGCCTATTATTCCACAGGTTTTAATAAAAATAAATGGCACAGGTTTGTCGCACGTCATGGGGTTTGACGTCACAAGATTATAGACCTTAGCCCATGGTGTTAGAGTCCACGCTATTTGGGGTCTTGGACGATATTATGCAAGGTATATGCGTCAGATTTTCAAGGCTGATGGACTGTGACAAAGATTAGCCACAGAACAGATGTGATAATTGATTTAAGAGTCGATTTTATGTTTAATGCATATATTAATATATATACTGTAATTTCAAATTTGAATAGATTAAATCTCTCAACAACGATATTCTAATATTGTGACATTGTTTTGTTTTTATTACAACCATTATCTAAATGTAATCATTAAGTACATATAAAAACAAAATGATTTATTAACCGTATATGGCCATTAACTAATTGATTCGGCTCGTAAAATGACAACAATAGGTATCACTATATAAAAAGCAGGTTTTTACGCACACCGGCACTTCGAAAAACGCACTAACAATTGAGTCACGTAAAATCCGCAAAAAAACATTGTCGCTTCTGTTGAATATTCGGGATCAAGTAACGGGCTTATTTAGCAACTTAAGCAAGATATAAACAGTTCGAAGCCGGCTACAGCGACGCGCGCTCGTGTTTGCGAAATAATAGCTTGCAACAGTAAAATATGATACAGTGATAATGGCTAAAGTTTTTCTACTTGTTATTATTGCTACAGTGACTTCAGCGAGACATTTAACTGAAGTAAATAGGTTTTTAATCCAACCATTAAATCCTGAGTTTGACGCGAGTGGTCACAGCGATCAAATTGTACAGAGACGTAATATTGACCACAACAGTCGTACCAGTACGAATGCTCATCATCAACAGGGCAGATATAGTCCATATATAAATCAGGAACCACACCAGCAAAATGTTCCATATTATCAAAGTACGATTAATTTTCACCATTACAATGTGATGAATCAAGAAGATACAAATGACAATATCTATAATGAATATGAATACGGTGTAAGGGCACGTGTTAACTCCCCTAAGCCCATTGAAGACTTAAATGACATTGCATATACCAATGTGCAATCAAAAAAACACTACCCGACTCACGCTGACACTCAGCCAAATATGCGAATTAACGAATTTCATGGTGCTACAGTGACACAAAAAATAAATAAAATAGTTCCTACGTACGAAGAATTCTTAAACACTAATAGCAATCCAGTAAATCAAAATACACGTAACATAAATGTAAGTAATGAAAGAAAAACAAGTATAACAATGACTGAGGTGGAGACAAATCGACCTATAGAATTTGATCCTAAAGATGCTCAAATTCCGCTAACGAAAGAACCAAGTGGCAATGAAGAAGAAGACACCGAAGGATGGATATGGGGTTCGAGTACCAAATCGAGTAATAAATCTGTAACCGATGACGACTTAGACGATAGAGCCGCGTTTGTGGGAGACAAGTGTCCTACAGGATATGCGAAAATTTGTGGTACATGTGTGGAAAAACATTGAAATTTTAGTTAAACATGGACTTAGAATTATAATTAAAATGTGATTCCGTCTATTTTAATTTTACTCCTATCAAGATTGTTTACACAAGATGTAATTTTATAATCGTCGACGAGTGGAAATTTTAAAATTTTTATTGAAATGACAAATAATATCGTTATACTATAAAATCATATTATGTCATTCTTAAATATATTTTTTAGATTTCTATTCTTAAACGAATATAGAATAACATCGTGTCTAAGCCGTCACTTTTGTTGTGTCGTCGTCGTGACATACCAGACTATGTGAACAAAAATAATTTTAAAGGGACCAAAAATTGAATAGATATTTGTAAATAGTTTAAGTTAATTTTATGTTTTAATTTTATGTAGAAAAAAGTATTTATGTAATTGTGAGCCATCGGCTGAGATAACCTTGTGACTTATCTATTAAATCGTTATATTATAAAATATAATGAGTACTTGAAACAACTATCTGTTTTATTTACGTCTTAACGTAATATAATCCCAAGCTTAGTTGTAGGTCATTATATATTATACATACATATGTATATGGGAAACATTTGTAGCTCTTGATCGCGGTCTTTTCCGCAATGTAAATATATATATTTACGTATCAAAACTTACTTTTCTGATAAAAGAAAAGCTTACTGTTCCATCCTAGTTGTGAAATATCTTCTTCTTATTAAATTAGAGAGACTTCACTTCACTTTCACTCCAGAAGCTTAGTATAGAATCAATAAACAAAAAGAATCGGTAAATATATAGCGAAGCTTTAATATACTCAGACAAAATTACATTAAATAATAAATTAATTATTAAAAAAAATACACAATATATACAGATATGTAAAATATTTTGTTTATTGATAACAGCAAAGCTCGTCAATGGCTACTAAACAAAAATAAAATCGAAATAAAATCGGTTGACAAACAGAAAAGAGAAGGCACTGAACTGTTTTATCCTTGCCTATTTATATATAGATATTATATAGACGACTTTCAAAATTCCACGTACTTTAAAAGCTTATTATTATAAAGCTCTTGTTAGCCGTAATAAATGATAATCATCGAGCGCGTAATTTTTGACTTTGAACTCAAAGTTGCAACGTTATATTATCCGTGTATTAAATTTCAATTGAGCTTTTCGAAAACTTTTCAAAAGCTCGCAATTTTATTTAAAAAAGTTAGTAAATTTAGTAAATTTCTATAAAAAAATCTTCTGAGAAGAGCGGTCTCGGTATTTACTCAATCTTTTTAAAATTAAAATATTTAAATATTAAAATATGAAAAATATATATTAAGTATACATAAATATAGTAAAAAAAATCTTTTATGTATACATAATTATAGTAAAAAAGTAATGCGAAGTGATTAAATTTAAAGTTTCTCAGTTATCTATTCTGTTTTAGAGCTATCAGACCTCAGAAAAGTATAGAAAATTAAAAAAAAGTAATACATAGATTACTGCATTTCCTGGTAATAATTACATAATCTTAAGTATTAAATTATTGTATTCTCAACCGAATTACATATTCTCAAAGTTTCAATGCGACCATTGGAAATTGACATTTACTTACATTAGTGTTCACCTAAAGTAATAGGACCGTGATGATTATTGAAAATTCGAGAAAAACTTAGGTTTATGACTAGAATTAATCCAATTATATATACAAAAAATTAACAGTTTTTATATTTTTTATTATAGTATCTAATCATCATATCATAAATAGTAATGAAACAAAAAAATACATCTATACTAATATTTAAAGTAGTAAAGTTTGTGAGTTTGTTACGTTGTAGGGGGTAATCTCTGGATCTACTAAACCGATTTAGATGAAATTTGGAAAGAAGATATTTTGAAACCTTGAAAACGATAAAGGATACTTTTAATCCCGGAAATCATCCCTTAAAGATATAAAAATGGGGATGAAAGTTTGTATGGGGAATCAAGCTAGGGACGAACGCGAGCGAAGCGAGAGTGAGTCGCTAGTTTAATATGAAATAATAACAGCAATAAAAATACATACAGACGAACATAGAAACTTCTCCTTTTGGGATGTCGGTTGAAAATAAATAAATAAATAAAATCGGTTGACGAACAGATAAGGAAAAGATACTGAACTGATTTTTCTTTACCTATTTATATATGTATAGATAATAGAATCATTATAGATATAGATACTTGTTACTATCACACGTGTTTATTCACAAATGTGATCTTAGTATAAGAAAACCGTTTTGACACTGGAAGAAGTGAAGCTGATGGCGGGCCGACGTAGACGCTGAGCAAAATAACAATTTATAAATCGATTTATTAAATTAGCATTTCTAACTCGATTACTAGAAAGTGGAACAGAACTTGAAGCTGGTTGCTAAAATTCAATTTAATATGAGATAACTAAATTATTTACTTCAACGAACTGTGTTACTTCAAGGTTATTCACTTAGACATTTTGTTTACAATAAAAGTTCACGAGATAATAGATTTTGATTAACTTAAAATATCTATACTAATATTATAAATGTGAAAGTTTGTGAGTACTCTTTCACACCAGAACAGCTGAACGGATCTGGATGAAATTTGGCAAAGAGATAGATTGTAGTTTGGAATAACATAGGCTACTTTTTATCCCGGAAAAATGTTATAGTTCCGAGGGATAATTTACTTTTGTCTTTCCAACTAGTGCTTTTATAAATTCAAGTTAAAATAGTTAAAATTCTCGCTCTAAGCCAGTGCTTTCAAAACTCCACGCTTTATATGTTAGATTGATTCAAAAAAATAGATTTTCATTTTTGAAATCCCGTTTGAAAAAGATTCAGGAAAGTGAGAAAAGATGCCTGTAAAAACCCGGAACTCTTAATATTAATATTTAGAGGTTTCGCATCGTATATTTCCTTTTCTCATAAAATTAACAGAGGAAAGTTATTTTTTCAATTTCAAAATTTTATAATCCAGAAATCAATTGACGAATTTAAATGACCAAAACATAATTTTGTAGGAAATTAAACACTACTAAAAACGTCTCTAATATTTTTCGACAAACCTACTCGTTCAAAAATGATTGAAACTGAAAGTTAAGAAAAGTAATGTAATTATAACACTATTTTTCCAATTTCAGGTAAAATGATAAAAATAATTATCATATAATAATAATTATTATAAAATCTTCTTACCAAATTCCATCTAAATCGGTTCAGTAGATCCAGAGATTACGCCTTACAACGTCATAAACTCACAAACTTTACCTTTTTATAATATTAGTTTAAATATATACGAGTATATCTGTTATTTTACAAGGATATATCCTTCATATAGCGAAAACCCATTGCATTCGTACTATTCTTACTTAACCTTATTATATTAAATCATATTTTTTTTATTTCAGAATAATCCAAAGCACACTTTTTGCAAGCTTTTCAAAAGCTTGTCATATAAATTAAAAAAGCTGTAAAGTAATTGACAGTAATTTAAAAGTAGGATAGAATGACCAATATGTACTCATAGCTAAGTGATGAAGTTGGGTAGGAGTAATAATAATGATAATAATGTTCTCCCGACCGATTCTGGCCACGGCGGCCAATGTCATTGAGACTAGCCAACTGCGCAGGAGATATTATAGTGCACAAGTGTACGCGCAGACACAACGTGCACTCTCTATTCCTGTCACTCTCATACTCCCGTGGGACGACTGCTCGACACGACCAGTGAGAGTTAAGAGTTAGGGTTAAGTAAACTCTTCGAGGCACGGGGATGAAACACCGCTTATTTCTCAACTCCGAACTGTTACTGAGGCTTACTGAACAGAAAGACTCAATAACTAAATTTAGGCCGACCTGGGAATCAAACCCAGGACCTCCGAATGTGCAGCCGTATATGCTAGACACTACACCACCGAGGCAGTTAGGTAGGTATACTAGTGTTTCTTTGCTTACCCAGTGTAACTAGTTTGGTGTAAACAAATCCAAATCGAGATATAAATAGAAAAAAAACGATGTATCAAAAACGATAAACAAGGAAAGTACGTCGTAGAGAAAATGCTTTATCATTGTAAACATAATTCATTAATTTACACAAATCGCAGGCTCAAATTTCGCTTGGGGGTTTTGTATTGATCAAACAATACAAACACCTCGACGTATGGAGCACAAGGAAATTACGATGAAGACGATAAATTATGATAAATTATCACCATTTCTTTAAAACAAATGCTCAAACACACTATATCAGAACGGATAAAAAATTTAAACTGGTCAAAATAATAAATTTTTTTTAGGTAAAGTCCTTTGAGTGTTATTAGTAAAAGCTATAGATTTTTTAAATAGACGCTTTGACTGTTTTGAACTGGGGATATCCTAATGATAGGAATTCGAGCAGCATTCTTAAAAAAATTAATTTCGAACGTTATTGAGGTACTTTTGTCAAATTGGACATAAATCGGACTGCTGTTATAAATGCGAAAATTTGTATCGGGAGTTCATATTTGCTGGAACCGCTGGACGGATTTAAATAAAATTTAGTACACGGACTGTGACCTGAAGTAACACTTAGGCTACTACTGAGCTCCTAGGGAATGAAGCAAGGGTTAGTTGCTTGTAGGCTTTTTAGTACAAAAATATTAAATTGAACCTTTTCCAGAGACCCGTGCGATTACACATACAAATAATCCCTTCAGTTTTATATATTAGTAAGTAGTTAAAATGTAATTAAGTATATAGGCTATCTAAGGTCACACTGCAGGTCTTAGAAGCGGAACAATTGTACATAAATCAATAAATGAGTTGCGAGCTAAAGCATGTCGATTAATTTTATCTTTCTGTGCTCTTTCTCTATAATACTTTAGTAGAGTTGGGACTCCTAAAACTTGTACTCCTCTCAGTATGCTTATAATGTATTTTTTTCACGTATTAATATATGTAGATACGTATTAATATTAGACAACATGTTTGGCTCAGTTTGTATTGACCCTACTTGCTGTGCTAGCGATCGTGGGTTCGA